TTTTATTTGTTCAATAATTTTGGCTGCACATGCCTCGTGTGCTCGTCATTCATACTCAAGATCGGAAATATGGTTTCGTATTAGAAATGCTCGCCGATAGTGGCCTAGTTCGCACATGATTTAACAATTTTTTTACTTAAAAATCCTCGCTAGTAGTGGCATATGTTCGCATAGGCGAGCTCAAGATAGCATCACAAATAACGGTCAAAATTTTCGAAACTGAATTTAAAATTTATTAATAACAGATAGATAGGATAACCTCTGTCAATAGGGAGAAAATATGGTGAAATCATTTCCTCATTCCATTTACCTACTGCATTAATGAGCTTGTGACATTGACTAGGCCTCTTATAGGTCTTGATGTTGGTTTGAAAGATGGAGCTCAGTAGCCATGGCTCTCCAAAGATACTTGTCATCCTCCCATCACCAACCTTATATCTCATCCCTTTTTGAATCAACTCCATGTCCCACAAAATGCTCTTCCAACGAAAGTATGAAGATGGTTGAAGATAGTTATGGTCCCCGTAAGTATTTATTTTTGAGGATCATAGTTGTTAGTCAGCATTCGCCACACCTGTTTGGCCACTAAGGTCTCATTGAACCTTTTCATTTCTTGAAAGCCGAGCTCGCCTCCCTCTTTCATCTCACATATTTTATCCCAGCTGACCCACAAAATCTTTCGTTGAATTGAATTTGACCCCCACCAAAATCTCGTAATCATCAACGTCAAGTCATGGCACAAGGAACCTTGTAGCTTGAATATACTCGTGACATACACAGGCACAACTTGAAAGATTGAACTTAATAAGAACCTCCCATCCCCCTCCTGAGAAAAGATTCCGCTTCCACCCTTTTATCTTATTTCACATCTTGTCCTTAATTCCTGAAAATATTTCTCTTTCGCTTCTTCCCATCACTGATGGCAAACCCGAATGTCTGCCTCTGCCATGTTCGCTCACATTATCCAGGGACAACTGATTCTGTAATGCCTCCTGTGTTTCCCACCCAACATTAGGACTAAATTTAAATGAAGATTTTTCCCAAGTTCACCATCTGTCCAGAAGCAGCCTCACAGATGTACAATATATTCAGGATCGTAGTCGCATTCGGTGCCACAGCCTTGACAAAGATAATCATTTGCAAAAAAGAAGTGGTTAACTTTGGGGACCTAGACGTGAACATTGCATAACCAGGGGCTCCACCTCCCTTTGGCTGACCGAAGTAGAGAGGATAGCACCTTGGCAAACAGAAGGATAATGATAAGTGTATTTTGTACACTTATTTATGCCATTAAACTAGAATATTTGTTAGTGATTTGGATCAGTTATCGCTTAATTTTGTGTTAATTATGTTTGTTAGGTTAAACTCAATGCAAATTGGTGGATTGGAAGAAATGAATGAAAAACGTG